TTTGGTTGTTTCCAGTCCATTATTTTAACACAGGTTAGGTGTTACGTCATCCCACTTATTATATTGTACCAACGGATGTTTATAAAGAATGACAATCATTGACACGGTTGCAACCATAATGAAATCAAATAAATTCGACAGATTTCTCATCCAGATTATTTAGATGAAATACAAGAAAATGTAGATTCCTTACCTGAATGAGCATCCTGTCCTATTTGGTCATGCTTGATGAACATCCAGTAATAGGATCTCATAACTGGGATGACGCAACAGTTAGTCTGTAGAAAAATAATAAACTGGAAAGGAATAATGTTGGGAACAATAGTCCGTAGGTTTAGTATTAAACTACGCGTTATAGTTGCTACGAGAAGGAGGAAGATTGGTAATTGGGGTTACTTGTTCAAAAAGGCGATAGTTTTTGGTAGATGAGTTTACTTAGCTGATACTTTTACGAAAACTAAGTATCCCGTGACACAATCTATTTGCCGCCTTCGAGTAACGCAATTTTCAAGGACCTCAGTATTCGAAGCTTTATTTTGGTAGGAACCGTTGTACTCCTCGCCTCAATTAGTCAGTTGGGTCAATCCCATGGTTGAAAAGTTGCACGAGTGGATTCCGTCTAGGCCTTCAGTATCTTAATGAGTAAATTTCATTGGGTCAGTGATTTCCTCAACTAGTACGGATTTCTCTGAGTCCAGTGTGATTTCCTACCTATTTCTTACATTTAAACGAACGCTTGGCATGATAACTAACAATGGTATAAGGATACAGTGAAGGAATTAGCAGTATTTCACAAAAATACTTTACCTTGCTGAGGTCTCTTTACACTAGATGCATGCTTTGAAAGGAAGGCCTGATCCATCCAATAGCTGAAAATTACAGAAAAACATCGCTTTTCGGATACTATCGCCGTAGATTATTTGCGCTTCATAGCATAAAACGCAAGTTATATGGCAAAGTAACATCAGCCGTACATCAGTCTACGACGAAATTGACCAGGAACGGCGAAAGAGGGCAACCTTGATGAACGCCGCTTCCGGTGACGAACGGCCTTCTTAGTTCATCATGGACCCTAATCCGACCAGAGTATGTGAGTAAAGAGAGAAACGACTAGAAGAACAGGTCGTTATATTACATTTCCTCTTCTCTTCATTAAACAATAAGCTCATCGCTTCTGGTATTTGATGAGCATTTTCGTTTGTATTCGAATAGCACTGATTTCGAAGGAGCATTCGACTAAGTTTATCGCGAAGCTCAGATGAGCTTCCTTCTTCTTGAAGGAATACCTCTTACCGAGGTGGCTATACTCACCTCAGGTTGAATAAGGATCTACAACGAACTAATTAGGCGGTTCGTCACCAGCAACGGCGTTCGTAGGTTTATTTCGATTATCGGTGTTTACGTAGTTTAACCCGGAGCGATATGGAGCAAACGAGTATTCTGGAGGTAAGCCGTTATGTGGTCTGGTGCTTATCAGGGGTAAACCTGCTAGCTTATCGAATTCAGACTGGTAGGCTTCGCTGGCTAGGGTACGTATTTCGTATGCCCATCCGTCGTCAGCCATACCGCGCTTTATTCGCTT